AAAAATGAAGAAAGGCAGAGTTTAGATTAGTCGGCATCCGTAATTTTCAGGGGCAAAATCCCACAGTTCGTTTATGCATCTGGGCAATCGTTGTCCCATGGGTGATTACCGGATTCGTGGGATTGAATAACAGGATAATGAAGGCAAAGTAACTTCTGTCGTGTTGTTAATCAGCTTCTGATTGCTACACTTAATTGTGAGGGAACTCAGCCGCATGCTTCACCATCTCACACCTTTTAATTATAATCGAACCACATTTGTGTCAAAGAAGCCCTCTATCCATCGACTGCACAAAAAATTGTGATGTCCATAGCGTTCCTTTGAATGAGCCTGGTTGGTGCTCGACTGAAACACCTTCCAGCCATAGCCTAAAAGTGTGACCCTCTCGACATCAGCAGAAACTACTCGATTTTCGAGGAAAACAAGGAAGCCATAAAATCCTTACTTGGTTATTCAGCATAGTATTCTTTTCAGCTCACCAGTTCTTTTTAGCAACGGTTTTTGAGCTCCCAGAACAACAGTAGTGACCATGGAAGACAGAACCGAACCTTATCTTTACATAACTGCTACTGGTGATTGGCAACACAAAATTTTGAAAAATCGAATTCAGGAACCAGGAACATCTCCGCCGGATTCGCAGAAGCCAGGAACATCATCGTCAGATTCTCAAAAGCCAGGAACAGCATCATCTGATTCGCAGAAGAGCAATGATGCAATGGAAAACAAAGGCATTGCTTTAAACGATGAAGATGAATTCTTGGCAAAGCTGTAAGTTGTAATGAGTCCAAAATTCTTTATGATTTCCAAGTAATTAATCTGTCGCAGTTCATAAGGGGTCTGAGACTTTTAACAGGGGTGTGGGAAGTTTGAAAAGTTTTTAGCAGCCGATTAAAACTTCTATATTTTCCCTTAAAATTTTAATCATTTACCAGATGTATTAATACATTTCAGAAACGAAGTACGAAGGCGATCACTAGTGAATATGAAAGACGTGAGAGAAAATCAACGTGTAAGACAACCAAGTGAAATTACTGAAGAATCCGAAGAGGACCCCAACAATAACAGCACTTCGGTGAGAATTTGAGCGTTCATGTGGCGAAGTTTTCCCTAGTTGGAACTATTTGTGATGCATAAATACTACTGACAAATGGAGCAGAAGACGACATTTGATAATTGTTGCAATATTTTAGAGTAAGAAGCTTCTTTCTCGGTCATCCACATCGGAGTCAGGGCACACATTTCGTGTAACTTCGGAACCGGAAGTCTCATTGCCCCCAATCAACGTTCCAACACCTGTGCCAAGAATGTCTTTGATAGAGGCGACTCCTACAGGAAGCCCAGCACGGTCAGTCGTTACTAGTCTTCTTTGAAAGCTCGTCTGAATACTGGTGATTATGTCTAGGTATTCATAAGTATAGTGTTCAACTACTTTTGCATTGAGGGTTTCCAAGGGCTTACCGTAAATGCTTCTTTGAAAAAAAGTTGTTGCTCATAATTGTGAAAGAATGGGGTGTAGAAAGGGTCCCGAAAAAGGAAAAAGGGGGCTGATATTATAAACGCTCGAGAACGCTGACAGAGAATTGAGAGAGAGACTCGAGTCAAAGTTATCCCTCACCAAACCTGAAGATAGTTGCAAATGGGTTCCCATTTTTTTTAGTAAAACCGCTGAAGAACCAAACGACAGTGCCCCTTTCACCACCGGTACAAGCCAACATGATGCATGGTTGAGGAAAAAAATCGAAGAAGCGCGGAAAAAGAAGCAAAGAGAAAGGGAGGCAGCAAAGAAAAAGGAAGAGGTACGTTTACTTTCAGGAAAAATTTTATTTTTTTTCTCATTTCAAAACAGTGACGTTGACAAAGTGTCAAAGGCATCTCAAGGGGGCAGCCTGAAAGCCTCATTGAAGTGTTTAGGAAGAAAAAGAAAGGAGAGAGCAAGCAAAGAAGTTGTTCGAGCGTTGGAAAAGTGAAAGAGACGAGAAACTCCGGGAAGAGAGGCGACGGCAGCGGGCGAAAGAGAAAGAAAAGCGCCAAGCGGAAGAAGAACGAAAGAAAGAAAAGAAACTTGAAGCGGAAAAGGTGGGTTATGAGCTTTTTGCAGCCACAAATAGTGATCGTTTACCAAAAATTTCCAATTTTCAGACGTTCCAAGCATGGAAACGGTCGCATTCAGCTACTCGACGAACTGGTCTTTCAGATGCCGAAAAAGAGAAACAACGGCAGAAAGAAGAAGCTCGAAAAGAGGCTGAGAAAGCTTTCGAAACCTGGTGAGCGTCAGCCACATTTCGTTTACCATCTACTCATTCAGAAGCTTTTTGATAATGATTTTCACACAGATTTTGTGAAAACTACTACTTTTTATGAAATTGATTAGTAATAGTCGTCAAGGGAGAGTATGTTAGCTGTTCTCACCCGAGGCAGTGCAAATCTTGCATATTTCGGACCTTTGTTCCCGAAAAACGCCATTCAATCTTTTATAAAATAGGGGAGGGTTGAAGTGTTTGCACTACTTTCCTACCAATTCAATGTGTGCTTCCCAAAATTGTTTCCAAACATAGAATTTTTTGTTTTTACTTACTATGCAATTAGTGTTCCAAGTTCAGGGTAAGTTTTTCCATTTTATTTGAACATGAATCATCCTAATTCCACAGTTGCCAGGAAACGTAATAAGGATGCGGCCGAACAAGCTGAACGTCGTAAAGCGGCCGAGAGGGAATTGGCAGAAAAGAAACGTCTTGAAGAAGAACGAGAATATCGTGAGCTGCTCGCACGGCAAACCTACGAAACCTGGCTGGAAATCAAGGTATGTCAAGCCTAGGCTTGTCAGTCAGTAACTGTTTGCGCTCACAAAAAGTAGCTGAGTTTTTCCCAAGCACTATAGCTAACTCGGAGTGTGAGAACGGCCCAAATGAAGGGGCTTGCATAACTAATAGCTTTTCACAAACCTTTGATGAAAGGCCTAGCCCAGACGCACTACCAGAGGCTAGTACCATGGGTTCAAGTGGTGATATAGAAGTAGCATCTGGGCTGCTTAATCTAAACAAAAACTCATCAGTCGAGCAAGAATTGTGAATCAAACACCTGGTGTTCAGGAAAACGAACGGATGATGGCGCAGAGCTTAGCTTCCTTGGGTTTTGAAGAGCCTGAGCCTTTACCCTGGCTCCCACCGAGCAACACTTGCCCTAGGCGATTCACTCCAACGCTAAGAAACAGGTATGTTATGGTTACCTAGATATTGACAGATTGCAGAAGGTTTTATCATGCGTTTTACATGATAGGCGAAAAAACTCTGAAAATATTTCAAAGTCGACAGGGAGTAATGTAGAAAGAGTTAAGTGGTATTAGCACATTGTTTCAGAAATCGCTCACTAGATGGTCGACCACGAGCGGTGTCGGCGCAGAATCCACGGCTCAAGAGGACTGGTTCAGTAAAGACCATATTCAGTATGAAATAAAATCGCGCCTTATAATAAAATTTAGCAATTTTTGTACATTCTGTTACATTCATTCGGTGCTCAGTTCACGATTCAGTAGAAACTCTCGTGGTTTTCACTGGGATCTGAGATGATAGATATAGGCTGGCTAAGCCATCCAGACTTTTTATATTGGCTAAAGTTTGGACTGCACCCAATGAGTTCCATCGAAATCTTTCGGAGAGTCTCTGTACACGATTTTGCTAGTCACCTGTGTTAGTCCTGATGATGCACATATCACTAACCTCAAAGTTTAGTAGCTGGAATGTTTCAGCTAAGAGCTCAAGGCTCCCATTCATGCTAGGTAGGGAATTATTCCTTTCTGAGAACCTTATTCCTTCGGTATAAGCTTCCACCTCGACTGGAGGGTGTCAAGAAGTCCCGTATGTTTTATAATCGCACCTATGACACACCAGTTTCTAGAGATCGATAGGCTACAATGAAAGTTTAAATCTCTAAACAGCTCTCCTTCTGCTTTTCACAGTTATATCCCTGAGGGAGAGGTTCATTCTCTCATATTGTATCCTCATGAGAAGAATGCTCGACTTCCGTGGAGCGTATATGTGCTGCACGATCCTCGCTTTCGCCACCAAAAGCTCATCAGCTGAAGAAAACAACGGTATGGTGATTTGCGATCTAGCTGTCAATTATAAGGATGGGGAGTGGAGGAGATCCGGAAGGATGTCATTCATTCTATCGGATTAGCAACTCTGAGCTCTGGAGGGAGCATGAGGCCAAAGTTACAGCAAGAACTCAGACTGAAACACAATATATCGTAGCCAGGAGACAAAATGGTGGAAACCTAGGGAGCTGACTCCACCTAACATTGCTAAACTGTCCGTTCGTTCTCTGACTGCTCCGCCGGTGCCACCTGTAGAGGGATAGGGACTCTTTAACACATATCCGATACCTGTGACCCACATGAACACAAATAAGATCAGGCACAAGCATACGTGACGTATCTTGAAGATGCCGTTATGAAACAGAAAGCAGCAAAGGGCATTGGGTTTTCTGTGTCAAATATTTAATTTACCCTGGTACTGAGCTCTGAGTCTCCTTTGAGTGACGAACCTTGCTGGCAGTAGGATGTCGCATGTACTCTGCCGCTCTCCATTCCCAGTACATTCCGTTGTCACGAGCCTATCCTTTAAATAAATCAGTAGGTGATAGTTCCCACCTGTAGGCATGTCATTCCGTTCATCTGGAGTGACTGGTTGAGCTAAAGGAACTCGTAAAATGAAATGGCCGGTATCATTACTAGGAAAACACACAGCATCACTGATGCTGTGATTGTGGTATACTATCCAAATGGTGGAATACCAAAATAGAACATCTCATCTAGAACGTAAGTTCATGGCCTTTGAGAGTGCTGAAGACGGATTAACGGTGAAATGTGTATGCTAGGGACAGAGATAATAGCCAGTTGAGGGTGCTGTTAAGCAGAAGCTATCCATGCGGCGACTATATCCTCATATGGTATCTAAATGCACATATGATTTGCTAGTCATAGCTGGGTGAGTGCTGGAGGAGCAAGCAGGGAGGAACAAGTCGTCTCTCCTTCTTGACTTTCCAGCGTAGTGGTTCATTTCCCAGGTCCAGCAGTCCAAGTGGCCGTTCTCACCCTGCAAAAGCAATTTCACCAGCTGATAGAGTGAAAGCAGCTATCACAGGTCCTCAACTACTCCATTGTCTCTGAAGTGATACACTAGGGCACGGGAGCGTTTCGGAAGGCAGTTCTCTTTTCTCATTCATCGGACCTCAACTGCCCCCGGCCGTCTCATTGGGGTGATTATCTGAACTTGCCCTTATCATTAGATGAGATTCGCGCTCTGCGTATAGAAAGTCCCTAAAGAAAGGAGGTGGCTTTCTATAAGTTGCAACTCCATAACTCACATAGAGGGGTTTGCTACCTTCTCAAATTCAAGTACTGAAGGATTCTTGTTGTTTGTAAAAGTAAGTAGTAATATTACAGAATCTGATCAAGTTTTTATAACGACCATTGAAGAAGAGTATGTCGTGAAAGCTGGCGAATGGATTAAGCTGGATTGCCGCTCAGCTAAATATGACGAGTCGGATACAACAACGGTGTGGACCTTCTGGCCAGCTGTGGTAATCATTTCAGTTGATAATTCTCGCGTAGTGAAGTATTTTATAGAATTTTTGACATTCATGACCTTTTCGTTATTTTTGGCAACAATTATGATATAAATTTATGAAGAATGCACATTTTTGAGTAGTATGCTACGGTTTTGCTACGGTAACTCGTTACCGTAATGGTTTTTGGCTCTCTAAGGGTCCATTTGACAATCCTTCCCCGACATTTCCAAAGCTGCTCAGCTCAGAAACCCTGTGGAGTACCTCAAAAAAGATAGTCTTTTTTCTTCTCAGCATCACTGAGCTTTTTCATCTTCTGCAGCGTTAATCCTCATAAAATGACTTCCACATGGATAAAATCTTTTTTTAGATGCATATTACTACTATTAACTCTTACTTCAGTGGACATATCTTCGGCCTCATGAAGGAAATCACCCAGAAAACCGGTTCTGGGAGCCCAGTGAGAAATCAGTACTAATAGAACCAAGTATTGTTAGATATACTACGAATTACAACAATATACTACATATGAGAGCGCTGAATCATCATGATGGAGTTTATCGCTGTGAACTATACCGTGTCCTGGAGGATTGTAGGGAACTGCTGGGTTCCCAAACCACTTTTGTTTCTCACACTATCAGCGAAGAGAGATGTGAGCTTTGAAATTACTGAGGGTACTTTGCTATTCAATAGTATAAGACCATTCTAGACTGTCCTGTAGCGTTTCTCATCGAAAACAATTCCGCTTACACCCGCATGTGTCATTGCGACGATTGCCTGCCAGAGCCAAATGAGTTTTGGTGAGTGTCTTGCAGTTCAATGAGTTCTGAATGAGAAGTATCGAATGAAAAGTATTGTAAACATGGGGCGGAAATGATTCAATAGCAGGCATAGTACAGTCATACGCATAGTCCGGGGATCGATTCCGGGACCGATATCTGCGATAACCAAGCCTTCCCGACTTCGGATGCAAATTCAATGAGGAGGTCTATGCTACAAGCGGGGTTGATGAACGCCAGCGAATTTCGTCTTCTATCCTAATGCTGAGAGACAAGAAAATTACTCTTTTTTTCCATACAGCGCTGTGATGATTTCGATAATATTCACCTTATTGCTTGTGACAGACAGACAGACAGACAGACAGACAGACAGACAGACAGACAGACTGAATGACTGACTGACAAACAGACAGACTGTCAAACAGACGGACAGATAGTTTTTGAATGGTTCACATTCTCAGCCCATTACATTCGTGAGAAAACAACTCTCTCAAGGATGATACGAGCGACGGCTGCGTTGTTGGCCACACGTTGACAACACTGGACGCCGATCAATACCGCTCACTCGGCTCTGAACGCAATCTGACTCACGTTGTCAACGCGTGGTCACCACGTTAAACTCTGAAAGCAACAATTTTCCATTATTCTTTATTTTTAATGCCTATAACACTATCTTGCAGGGGTGCGATGAGAGATCATGTCTCGTTTGGTACTTCGTCTTATCCTATTCCATTCACTGTAAATCACCGAGCTCATGCGAAAACAAATAAATACTATTTTGTACGACCACGGAACCTTACTATTTTTTTTCTTCATTCAAACTTTGCCGTAAGAAAAATACAGTTACACCCTCCAGCTTTTTTTCTCTTTTCAAATTGAAACACAAACCGACTACCATTACGTGGAATAACAATCCGTGGGTCGTGAAATCGTAGATTTTTTCTGGTTTTTTCGCTGATAGACCGCTGGTTTATCGCTTTTCATTATCATCACGAGCTTGGACACCCACCCAGCTGATACTCTGACAATTGCATGTGATTTATGGATCTCTAATGAGTCTATAAATGAACAAACGCTCAGCAAAAGAGAGCGTTCGAGAAAATTTGGTTTTTTGAAAGTAACTTTGAAGCTAAACGAAGTTCCAGGTTACTCATTATCTACCGAACAATGCTCTAACAGTGCTCGGTTCTTACGGTATAAGATACGTACAGTTATCAAAAACGTCATCGAATTGTAGGTTTTCTTTGGCTTCTTATACATTTAGGGTCTAGAGAGCAAGAAGGGGATTGTCGAATTCTGGATAGAAATCTTGTTACAATCAATTGCTTAGAGCTTTCGTCTTCATGTATCTCCCCGCTTCTCCAGGTTCCGAACCCCTGATTGATCATGCTCCTTCAACAGTCAGGACAATCAAAAGATCACCACGCTTTTACATTAACCAAAACTCAGTGAATCGATAGGTACCTGGTTCAACCACCGATTCTCTTTCATATTCGGAGCTGCTCGGTAACCATCACAACCGGGATGTGTGATCGTAAACCCGGAAGGCGCGTCGCGTTTACTGTACCCGCCGCGTACTGTAAGAATGAGGTTTCGAATTTTCCGTGGGGAATTTTCCGTGGACGATTACGGCAACTGGTACAAAGTCACTGCTGCGTGCCTTTCTGCGACCGTAGGGACTGAGGTGCAAAGTCCGCAACCATTATACACATGTAATCGTTCCCATACATTAACGCCGGAGTTGGGAAGTGAAACGAGAAGGAGTGGCTCGAAATTCATTCTCACAGCACCATTCACAGGCCTAGTACACATATACGTAGGAAATATATTCTCCTTAAAATACTGTTTTAAGAAAGGATTCTTTGAAATGCATTCTATTCCTTTTCAAGTGCCGGTGTTCGAACCAACCGTGATCTATAAGACTATAATAGGAGGATTGTGTGGCGACTGCTTACGAGTCCTTTTTGGGCCGTTTCCGGAATGTTCCGAAAGAAATGATATTGCATTTAAGGTGAGCATAGCATGAAAATTCAGATGCGAACAGCTCGAATTGGTTCTTCCAAACCAACTTGAAATGGCAATGAAATCTGCACGGAACGGAGGATGCTGTTCCGATGCTGAGGACCGGTCATAAACTACGCAAAATCGCTGATTGTAGCCTTCAGGAGCTTGTGCCTAATTTTTGAGAGTGTGCGGGCGAAGGTGGTGTAGTGGCAAGTGGCGCACTATCTCTTTTGAATCCTAATGGTCACCGGTCGAATCTCAAACCGACATCCGCCTAGGCCACTAAACCTTCCACCCCTCAAAGAGGTCCGTTAGTTGGTACCGGACTCATCTGGGAGGATGGGAGCGCTGACCTTTATATCGGCTGTCCATTCTGAATGAAAGCCGAATGCGGAGAGCGCACCCCTCCGACGGGATCGATCAATGTCAAAAAACTTTAAACTTTGATAATCTTAATTAAAGCGTCATATTTAAGATTCGCTTGACGAATACAAAGGATGGGTCTTCATTGGAAAAAGTATTTTATCCCGATGAATGGTACAGCTGTTCCTATATGCATTCACCCATCCAGTGTGAAGCAAAAGAGAAGTGTATAGCCGTCAACTTTGGTTCAATAGAAAAATACGGTACATCCAGTGTTTCTTTTCAGTGTTATAATGTTCATATACCTTTTTTTGTTCATTTTCGAAGCATAAGTATTTTCAGTCAAGTATCGTCTCACACTCGGCTATGTTCTAGTCAATAATATGACAGAAAAGGAGTTAATAGTTAGACATGACACCTTCTTTGGAAAACCCTATCCTCCGTCTATTTTCACTATAAGATCGGTCAGTGAGTCAGATTCTTTCCTCGTGAATTAATCATATACGTTAAAGGAATCGAGTGATTTTGTTGAGTTGATTCAATTCAATGTTTATTTAATATTTACAAGATTTTAATCATAAGCTGGCAACATTTTCTGGGGGAAGTAACTGCTGAGTACTACCTTGTGTCGAAGCAAGTCAGGCTGGAAGACAATGGAATTCTCACCCGCATGCATAGACTTCAAGGGAACACCAAGGGTAGATGAAATTGCAGATGACCTATTGGGACGAAAACTGGCTTTAAAGGAAATGCTGTTCGGGGTTGTGGTACCAAAAAGTCATAAGAAGGGCGCAATAAGAGCCAAAAGTTTGTCCAAAACGCCCATTCATTGCAATGATGGGCGTGGCAACCGAATCTGGGGGCGCATCAGGCACATTGTTTCTAGAATACTTAAAATGTTGAAAAGTGGGGGTACCATCCGCCCAAGGCTGCTCTATCAAACCTGGCTGCGTAACTTGCCCTTCTCCTGTTTCCTGCCTGAATATTGATGTGACCACTTTTGCAGGACATAGAAAATGCTATTGATATTTCATGGGAGAGCACTTATCGAGACTTTGAGCATTTCATAGTAAGTTCCTTGTAAAATAAATTTCTAATTTGAACCGTTGATTGTTTTTTGCCATCCATCGTCGTACTGGGTGAGGAGGAGTAAGAGACGAATCTTGCTAAACGATGATAAAGGGGTGACGTTTACAGTAAGATTGTAACTGGTTCTCGGAAAGGGTTCTCCCTAAGCATGCCGATATCCCCATGAGAGTTTTGTTTCTCTGAGCTCTCGACAAAGTAGATTCACGGAGGCCAATGCCCCGTGGTTGCTTCCTCACTAAAGGCGCGGAAAGAATTCCCTCTCCTGCTATCTAATCCATTTCCTCCTTTCTAAACTGTTCCTTCCATCCCGTGCACAGGGCGTTCAGCGCAGGACTATTCCAAGCGGTTAAGTGCGCCACCATGTACAAATGGAAAAAAACTTTCACCACGAACGGTATAGGAGTAGTTACTAAAACTATATGAGGCTTTTAAGGCACACAACACATCCATCGATGAGAGTATTTCCCAGTAAAGGGTACTCGTGAGGTAATAAACTGGTAAAGGTAAAATTATCGCTGCGAAAAGCGACTCAGAAAGTGCTTTTGTTCAGTAGGCGCCCGGTGAGGAGACGATGAGCGTCATTGCATTCGTTTTCCGGTCCACTTATCCTGCTATCAGGAAATATATCTTGCAGTGGGGGAGATCTTAATAACCACATTTTCTCTTAGGTATACCGTAGGAGCAAACGACACCGAAGCATTTATATGTCACTTTTCATGTATCCTAATTCTGACGTCCATGTTTTTTCTTCTATCAATACTGACAGAGTCTACCTGAATTCTCCTATAGGTGTATCTTACGTCTGGAGAAGAGGAGAAGCACGAAGGAGAATTCATCACAACGACACCATATTTTTTTCGTAACGGTTTACTTCCTACAAAAAACTACACTGTAAGTTTAACGACTAATTAGTCCTGTATTCTGTATCTATCTGTCTATTTTTTAGATTTATCTGATTGCTTATGCAGCTAGAGTTACAGTAACAATTGAGCAGGTTTTGAGATGGTACGGTGGTCCGCAGATTCCGATGTTACACTTCAAAATTCCCGTGAATTTAGATAGGATTTCCGAGAAGAAACCCCACTCGAATTGACAAACATTTTGATTTTCTGGATATCTAGAACACAAATAGGCAAAGTTCTGTGCAGATATTGGGCGCAAGGGTGTGGGTAAAGGGAGGATTTCAAGGGTTATGGGCTGTAGGGAAGGTGAAATTACCAGATTCGTTGAAAAAGTTATTCGAAAGTTGTCATGACTTGGTCATGAGTTCAGATGAATCCCTTCAATGACACTCTCCCGACACTTTCCCAACCACCACTTCTGGATCCCATCCCACCCCTTCCCTCTCATTTTCTTCCACACCTGAAGAGGTCTCGAAATTATCCCACGGTCAATTTACTCAATAAACAGTAAAAAGCTTTGAAAAACAGGAAAATTAGCTATCATTATTTTCAGGTATGGATACACACAAAAGGTAAAGATGGCAGACACAGTTCTGCGATAGCCATAAGAACTCGTCCAATTTCTAACCCTTTTTCTGCGACCCCGAATCAGCTGTATTTGCAAAATCTAATCGAAAAAGAAGAGCGGTTACGAGAAGAGAAAGACGTTTACGAAGATGAATTACGTCGAAAAACTACCCAACTTGATGGTCACTTGAAGCTCTTGAAAAAGCAACGCGCAAAGCTCAAGGCTCGACTGAAATCGTATCGAAAAATCAAGCATACATTTTGTAAGTGTTTGTAAGTTTATGCTTTTGACTAGCCCTTTTAAGCTAAAAACGAGAGTGTTTTTGAAAAATATGAACCGATGGCGAAGAAAGCGAGAAAATTCGCAGTATTTACGAAATAAAGATTCTTAAGTCGTAAAACGGGATACGAGATAACCAGGGTTCGAACGTCCCTGGCGACTACCATTGGGGCTCAAACTCGAAGTAGATTAGTTAAGTAGGGTCAGCTGATACTACTGAACTACTCTGCTTCAAATTTGGGCCCCTTTGATAGGCGCTAGAGTTNGTTCGAACCACCACGCACTTCGCCGCGCAGTTTGCCGCGCGCATCCTCGGACGCACGTAAGTTCCGTCCCCCAGATAACCATGGCGGAGACTTATTGTAAGGGGTATGCAGCCGATATCCCATCGGTAAGCAACTCGTAAAAGGCTCAAAACTGTCTTCCACTGTCATCATTTGCCGCTACCAAACGTGCGAATTCTCAGCAAGTGCGCTTTATTCTGAATGGTGGGGCCTACACGACGCTGTTGAAACACGTCCGCCTCAAAGCGTGGTGAATAGCGGAGTCCTCCTCAAGCCGTTATTGTGCCCCACCTATGTAGTTTTTCGACAAGACATCGCCCCATAGAGTATACTTAGGGACTCAAGACAGGTTCGTTCTCTCGCTGTAGTGTCGGATACCATTTTTTATTGTGAAGTGTGCCTTCGAAGTGTATTTCCTGATATGTTTATATTCAAATGGTCTCCTCGGGGGAAAGATTTGCGGCAAGGGCTTTTAAGCCTTGCTAGGGCACTTAAAAGCTAAAGGCACACTTCACTATGAAAATTGTTTAAGATAATGCATATTGGTGGGACTCAATGGCTCCCGAACAGGTTCCACGGGACATTGTATGGCTGAGAAGCGCCCTAAGTAAGGCCCATTAGAGGGAAGGGGGCTTTAAAAATCGATTCTAGGAGGGCTCATTGTCAGTCATTTCTGGAAGGCCTACCTTCTAAAAGAGACCGGTAGAGGGCCTCTCTAGAAATCTATGTTACAGTAACCCAATACGATAGTAAGGTTACATAAAAAAGAACCTTTTAGACCAAACGTATATAGACGATGGTGATGCGGTGACGGAAATTTTCATCGTACTTCTTTCTGCTGTTATAATCCTAGCGTTGACTCCAATGTTCATCGGGGTGAGCATTTTTGTCCAATCTTAATTATTTACAAAGATTCTGATTCCCATAGAAACCTCACTCATTCCACTTTACAGACTCATAAAACGTCTCCAACTACAACAACCACTCAAAGAGGCTCTTTGAAAGTACCGAATCCCCCAAAGTCATCGTAGTGTTCTTCTAATGCCGAGGGATAGTCCTTTTATTTGTTTCAATGTGTTACCCGATTTCAAAGTTTTATTTCTGTAATTTTCATTCATTAATCTGTTTATTATTTTGTTACTAATAAAAATGTTTATTTAGTATTTTTATGATGTTCCCAACTGCCTTCTTTATTTCTCTCACGTAAGGACTTTTGTAAAGGGGAAGTTACCAGAAAATTCACGAGTGGATTCAACAGCTCTCAGTTCCGATTACTTATACTGCTAGTGAGAAAAACGAATTCCTGTGAAAAACGAATTAAGTTTTGACCATGAAGGTATTATATTCCGAAAACAAAACTCATTGGCGCTGGAGGCACTGGAGGGTGCGGTAAAGAAAGGTAAGGGTAAAGTAAAAGAAAGGTCTAGGTAAAGGTAATTTGTCAGCCATTCGTGAAAATCTCATAAA